TAATTTTGTTTTTTCCAAGTTTTGTAGATTTAGAGTTAGAATAAATTTAGAATTAGACCTTAAAATGTATATGTTTTAAAAAAGTGAAAAATATGTGGGAAAGAGAAAATTGAAAAAGAAAGATGGAACAGGAGTAAGATTCAAAAGTACACAAAACAGAAGTCCTAAAGCAGAGGCAGGTCACAACACTGGCTCTACACTTGCTCATGGTTCCATGAAACAATCAATTGATTTCTACAGCCAGTTAGATGGCTGAGGGGGATGGACGCGGTTGAACCAGGAGCCAAAGGTTGGTTCTCTATCTTGGTGACTCATAATGTACTTTAATATAACTAGGGTTTGGGGAATTAATAGAGTAAGGAAACATGAATAAATTGGTTTAACCAAGTACTTCTTAAACATATTTGCAGATAGAATCCTCTTCTGCTGCTGGACATTTTCTGGAAAACTCTGCAACACACTGTTAATACAGCAGCCATTAAAACAAGGATGGCTATCACTGGAACAATAACACAAAAGAAAGCCAAAATGTTACTTTTGACACTTGGTTAACAGAGAAATCCATCATTGTGCTTCATAATGGAAGTTAAATGGACCTGAAAATACACAGCTCATTTAATTGAACATATTCTATTTAGGGTTTGGAGTCCAATCCTTTTGTGCAGTGGAAATGAGCCACCAGGGGCTCTGTCCCTAGGTATGCCTGAAAGAGGAAGCAGTAAGAGGCAGCAAGCACTCCAAGTCCAAATAGCGATTGCTTTGCTTAGTTTCCCTGTCTAGCCCAAAATGTAGCCAACGGCAATCTCTGAAAGGCTAGGGTATGTAGGTTCAGAGCTCAGAGCTGGAAATCAAAATAACAAACCACAGGACCAGCTAACTTCACACTTCGCATCATTCTCAGACTACCCCACTTCTCAAGAGGCCTTAGACATACGGGCTCAAGTCTGTGGCAGGGCAGGAATAGTGGAGCCAGAGGACAGATCCACACAGTGATCTTCCTCATCCATTTCTCCTATGTAGACTGCACTATTTGTGACCCGTCTCCCAGTGATGGCAGAGAATGAAAGGACAGAGGAGGAAGTTAGCAAGAATGAAGTCAAATTCAATCTCAGGCCCATGCCCAGAAGAACCTAAATTACTTTCACGATCTAAATCGATCTTAACATGGTAAGAAATACATTTTAAATTATGTTCATCGTCCTTTTAATTTTTCAATATTTGTATCGTGAGCAATATTCAGACTTCATGGATGTGTACAAATAATATTTTGGTATGTGGACATGTCATAACTAATAACTAAGGAATGTCAAATTTTCTATCTTTATATGGAATCAGCTAAAATAATTCTTGGAACTCATAGCTACAGAGGTAAATAATGTTACAAGAGATGCTTTGCTACTAATCAGCAGTGAAGACAAGACTGTGATGAGAATATAAGCAGTGGTTTATTTATTTTTATCTATGTCTCCAATCAAATTCTTCCCAAAGAAGCTAGTTTCCGATCTCAAAAGGAGCTTTGCCAATGCCAACGGACAGAAGAGAAAGGACGTGAAAAAGAGGGCTTGCTCTATCAAAATGAGAAACACTAAACATGCTCCACTTATGTAATTCATGCATTCACTCGCTCTATTATAAGACCCATGAGTTTAAATGAAACATACTTATAAAAATTGTTATTGAATACAAAGCCAAAGAAAGTATAATAGTTTTCTTAAATTATGAAGCTAATTGATTTTTTTAATGGACTACTCACTTGTTCCTTGACCCTAAAAGATTTTTATTCTAGGCCTCCTGTATGTTGTAAATTCATTATGACCTACCTAGTTCCCAGAAGGATTGCATCATTAGAGGTACAGAAATGGAGATTAAAAGCAAAACTGAGAAGTGAACTGTGCCTTAGGCAAATTAATAATACAAGTGAAACCATTATGCAAAAATCATTGTCTGGCTGGAAATATTTGACTATGCATTATAAAAGTATTCTGAAAAATATTGATAGAATTCTGCATTGAAACACAGCAGTCATCTTAAACTATAAAGAAGGAATATTTAGAATATGAAAAATGGTACAGGATTAATGATGCTATTCCCTTGGCTGGCCTCACGATAGGAGAGAAGTATGTTTCTTATCACTCAGATTGTTCTCTAACTATACCACATATTTGCCCGTGGATAAATCTGAGTTCATACATTCACCTGGTATATACTCTTCCTTTAGAGGCGAGAAAGTCTTTTAGGATAGAAGTTTAAACTACTGAGTGATTAAATGCCATATTATACAACTAAGGAACACTGGTGCATCTGGCTTAAAGATAGTGAGTTTACTAATAAATTTTGAGATCTTAAATTGGTGAGAATTAGAGAGAAATCAAGAAAGGTGGAATGATTTTTACAAAATAAAAACTGGAGAAGAACCAGAACAAACCCTGACTTGCATCATAAATTAGAAGTCCGTATTTTTCCCACTTATTTATTTTATACTTTGAAAAGCTACAGACAGAATCAGAGTAACTACTGTAGCAAAAAAAAGAGAAAAAAGAAAAAGAAAAAGAAAAAGAAACTTTACAAGTATTAGAAAGATAAATGGAAAAATATCCAAACATTAATTGCTTTTAAAGTAAAATGTTCTACGATACTCTTTAGTTCTCCCATTCATTGTTTAGTATAAGACTGAAAGCTCTGATTCTAGAATTGCAGTAGGAATACTGGACTTTGTCTTAAAAGTGCTGGGCTATAATACTAGCTATGGATAATATTTTGCTTTATAAACTTGATCAAGGCACCAGAAACTCCCTTACACCTCAGATCATTTGAAATAAAACATGATATTTCTTCTGTGGCAGCTCTGCAAATGAAATGTGATGACATAGAGGCACTCACGGGAAGCCTGTAAACTCCAATAACAAAAGTGTGCGATTCTTTCTCTTCCTCTAAGAATTATAATAAGAAAAATTCTAATTGCTTATAAAAATGGTTTTCAAGTGTCTGTTTAAAGTAACTTCACTCATTTTCATTTCATTGGTTGTTGGGTTCTGATCGTAGAATGATTCAACAATAAATAACGTAGGGGTTCAGAACAAGTCTGCCCAGAATGTGCATGCGGATTATTTTGAGATGAAAACAAGTGAAGACCAAAAGACTCAGGAAGAGCTTTTACCTACCCCTTAACTGTCTAAAATGTTTAGATAGAGGGCTTGGTCCAGAAAGAGAACTATCGCCAAAGATAACTGTGAAGAATATGAGCCAGGTGTGGAAAACTGGGGGAACTTACTATAAGGCCTACTTGTTCAAATCTTCTCTGTGTCCCCTTGTATCTGCATGGTACGACAGATATTTCTTTACCAAACATTTGTTTTCACATCTTTCTGCAAGTCATCTGTCTCCTCTTTGAAGTCTCAGCTGCCTTTCTCCTTAGCTCAGAACGACACCACATAAGCCTTGATTGCCTGACTGCCCAGGAATCTCCTATTCTTATGGAGCCCCTGTCTGTATGGAATGATTTTCTCCTGTTAATCTGTCATGTGTCAATATAATTCTTATATCAACTAGAAGAAATTACAAAGGTAGCAGAGAAGTTTTTCCTCTCCAATAATAATCTTTCTGTAAGAGATGGAATAAAATTTAAGTAAAAAATGTCATAATATGTAGATAATGAAAAAGGAAAACAAAGAAATACATGTCAGCTTTGAAAGGAAAACAGAATAGTAAAAGACTAACAGCCTCCTCAATATTTATTCTAAGTTGAAATATTTTAAATGAGATATAAAAATTCAAATAGTTTTTTCCAAATGAATATTTCTTAAAAATTATTATAATATACTACATACTCATATAAGAATAAGACAAAATTTTAAATATTTCTTTGTGATTTTAAAAGAGATCATAAATTCAGTATTAATATATGCATCACTAGGGGTTCAGAACAAGTCTGCCCAGAATGTGCATGCGGATTATTTTGAGATGAAAACAAGTGAAGACCAAAAGACTCAGGAAGAGCTTTTACCTACCCCTTAACTGTCTAAAATGTTTAGATAGAGGGCTTGGTCCAGAAAGAGAACTATCGCCAAAGATAACTGTGAAGAATATGAGCCAGGTGTGGAAAACTGGGGGAACTTACTATAAGGCCTACTTGTTCAAATCTTCTCTGTGTCCCCTTGTATCTGCATGGTACGACAGATATTTCTTTACCAAACATTTGTTTTCACATCTTTCTGCAAGTCATCTGTCTCCTCTTTGAAGTCTCAGCTGCCTTTCTCCTTAGCTCAGAACGACACCACATAAGCCTTGATTGCCTGACTGCCCAGGAATCTCCTATTCTTATGGAGCCCCTGTCTGTATGGAATGATTTTCTCCTGTTAATCTGTCATGTGTCAATATAATTCTTATATCAACTAGAAGAAACTACAAAGGTAGCAGAGAAGTTTTTCCTCTCCAATAATAATCTTTCTGTAAGAGATGGAATAAAATTTAAGTAAAAAATGTCATAATATGTAGATAATGAAAAAGGAAAACAAAGAAATACATGTCAGCTTTGAAAGGAAAACAGAATAGTAAAAGACTAACAGCCTCCTCAATATTTATTCTAAGTTGAAATATTTTAAATGAGATATAAAAATTCAAATAGTTTTTTCCAAATGAATATTTCTTAAAAATTATTATAATATACTACATACTCATATAAGAATAAGACAAAATTTTAAATATTTCTTTGTGATTTTAAAAGAGATCATAAATTCAGTATTAATATATGCATCAATGCCCTATCTCCTACGTAAAATATCTAAAACCAGTAAAATTCACTTTAATGCCTCAAATAAATGTAAGGTTTTTCTTTTAATCTTTCTTTACATTGTATTCTTCCCACAACCATTAGTATTTGGATTGACATAGGAAAAAAACGAAAATCAATTGAATACAAATTTTTAAATTAAAAAAAAAAGAGTAGAAAGCAGAAAAAGAGCTTCTGTCTAACGAGGTTTAATCAAATAACTGGAGTCTACCTCTCCTGCTCCTGCTTCATTCGTATTCTCTCCTCTTCTGATGTAAGGGAGTCCTGTATTTTTATTTTACCCGTTTTCTCAATCTTGTCATCTTTTCGATGTTTGCCAAACCTGTTGACAACAAAAAATTCTAACTTGTCAATATATACAAAACGAGTTCTTCTTTTGTAATAAATTCATATGCACCCAATGAAATATGAGCCTCCTGAAAATTAGGGCCAAAATGTCTCCTTCAGTTTACTAGTTTTTGTTCACTATTAACATATTTAACTGGATTATTTTATTCCTTTTTAATTCGAACTTTCCAGAGAAAACCCTTTTGGAAAATGACTTATTTTTCTTATGCTAAACAAAAAATAAATAACAATAACAAAACCTACAGTTCATCCTTATTAAACAAATAATTAATAAATGTATAGGACCGAGTGCCAAATACTTCAGAAGCTGGATGATAAAAATCTGCATTGTAGCTTCTCTTAGGTTTCTTTTAGGACTAAAGAATGATAATCCACCATTATCTGTTTAATAACCTCTCCATAAACAACTATTTTTCTTTATTTTCACAATTAAGTTTACTGAAAACATTCATCATAGTTTAAGAACTGACAAGGCCATATTTGCAATATTTAAAGTACAAAGGATGATAATATACAGTGCTACAATACTTTTAGCTTATAAAATTGAAAGCTTTAAAGCATTCTCATCAAATTATTTTCCTAAATCTAATGAAAAGCAATTGCCAAAGGTAGCCTCTTTAACTTGAAAATCTATATCTGGTAACAAACAAACACAAGGAACACATCATGATTCAAAAATAGTCCACATAAACTTCCACAGATGGGCAGTGAACTTGAAGCTCTTTAAGAAAACATTAACGGTATCCACTCTGGCATTCAAAATATCTCAGAAACCTCAGACTTGGTATCAATTCTTGTTCCTGCTCTGTTATTTTCTCCATAAAACACCATATTCTCTGGAATGCATGTGATACATAACCTCGAATAATTTTCATCCATAGTGATTTATTCACCAGATGTTTCAAAAGAGAAATCTTTTATAGACAGTTACTCAACTAAAGCATTCATAAATATGTAAAGAATATTGAGTGTTTCTATCTGAGGACAAACTAGTAATCTGACCTTTTGTGACAGTCATGTGAAAAAAAAAGAGTAAAAGGGTAGCTCCAAGGTTGAAATACAGAGAAAAACATATATCACTTTATGGTTTTGTTGGTAGCTATGTTATTATTTTATTAATACAAATCTGATGTCAAATACTGGTCTGTATGCGAAGTGTATGTGGGAATATCTGTATGTAAACTAAAGTAGCACTATGTTTGCAAAGAGGTATATAAATAAGGAAGGGGAAGCATTCTTAAAGTGCTAAAATAGAAAAGTTGAAATACCACAGCCACCATCATTCCTTTAAAAATTATCTCTATTACAAGATAGCATTCAAAACTGGCTATAAAATTAACTTCTATAGGGTAAACTTATCCTTAAATTTACTTAGAAATTGGAAGATCATTGCAATTGCAAAAAAGAAAAAAAGGAAAAAGAAAACAAATAATCCCCCAAAACATAAGTCCAGAATCTGACCACTTCTCACAAGGGATAAAATATGTACTATGAAAATAGTGCAAATATAAAGCATTAAAACTAAAAAGTTTCTCTTTTCTTAATTTTTATCAATATATCAAAAATACTTAAAAATTAAGCATAATGACTGACTGTATAGAATGAATAAATAAAAGAACAAATATAAAAAACAGATCGATATCAGTAGAAGCCAACATCTAAAACATAATGTTCTTTGATTCGACAAAAATTTATTGAGCATCTACCAGGAGTTCAGGGGAAAGGGCAAGGCTGGACAGATTAATTTGAGTGTCATCAGCATTTAGACAGTAAGCATAAATTTCTATCTTAAAATGATGAAGCATCTGGAAATATAAAATGTATTAAATTTTAACTTCAAGTTCAAATCTTAATACGTGATATTTATAATTAGATAAAGGCAAAACATTTTAACTATTTAGTTTTTTAGTTCACGAATGTTCTTCAAATGACATAACACTGCCATATCAACTTATTTTGTTCTGTTTTTAAAGACATCGTGCTGGTCCACATTCTAGACTGCAGACATTCGCCCCTACATCATATTTGAGAAACATTGTGCAGTGACATGACATATATTATCTATTTGTACTAAAGGTACAGTTTAATCTTGTAGGAAAATCATGTAAATCTGCCCTTTGAGTTAATAGTACAAGAAAAAATTGAATGATTTTCCACGTTTTAAAAGTAGATATTTTTAGCCCCAAACGAACATTGAACTTAATTAGCTATGTTAAAATCATTTTAAAATGGTCTTTTTTAAAGCTTCTAAAGAAAGCTTTAGTTTTATATATCAGTCTATCAATTTCAGCTTTTCATCTTAAGGACACATGATTTAAAAGAAAAGAACAGAATCCTGACTCATAATTAAGAACCACATCTTTCTCATTATACATTTTATCAAAATACTAGTTTCCTAGACTGTCCCCTAATCACAACATACTATTTTATTATTTGTAAATTTATTACCAAATTGTTATAGTATACTTTCCTATTTTAAATTATAGATTCAAGGTTAATGTATGAAAAATTAATCACAGATGAAATGTGTATAGATTAGCGTTGAGACATTTCCATTTATACCTGCTTTAGTTAATAAATAACTTCTTTAAGGCATGCTATAAAATAACACTATATTGCTCTATAATTGAGGTAAAAATGGATTCCTCAGCTATTTTTGATAAAATGAAAAAAGGCTGTAAATAAAAAATATTCCAACCATTCTAGATATAAAAAAAGAAAAATATAGTAGCTGTACCCTCATTCACTCTATTTGTTAATATATTCTCATGCTCTTAATTTATAGTTGCTTAATTCTTCCTGAAAAGAGGGGAGTCATTGAAAAATTTCAGCTACACATGTACTCAAAAAGTCAGTTTCACAGCTGAAATCAGTAATACACTTACGAAGACAATTGTTTAATAGTAAGTATCTTACTATTAAACTTGGAAGATATCAATTACATTTATCTTTTAAAAGCTACGAATGAAATTCAAATGGGTCACTTTCCAAGGAACAGCAGAAAAAATATTGCACTAATAGTATGTCCAGGAAGCAAGTCCATTCTTAGCAGAGAATCAGTTTTATGAACTGTCTTCTGACTGACTCACGCAAATGTTCAAACAAAAAACCAACACCCAGCAAGTGTGATGCTGAAATAGAAAGTGGTCACACAGATCCCATAATCTTGTTTGTTTGTTTGTTTTAAATAGAGACAAAAAGAAAAAAAGGGAGCTTGAGAAAAATTTAATAGAAAAAAAAATTGCTTTAGAGGTACTGCTGCATGGAGAGAGAAGGTACACTGGGAAAAAAAAACAAAAAACACCAATAAGACACTGAAGACTCATTCACAGAAAGACACCATAAATGAGTCCTGTCTTATCAGAGTAGAATTGATTGTAACATTTCTTAACCATATGGCTTTCTGCATAAAGAATACAGCAATGTTTTCATTCAGCTAAAGTAATCTCAAAGTAATCTGCTAAATGGGTTTTACTATGACGCCTCATAAATGAGATCACTGCCATCTGCCAGATCAGCCATATATATTACTACAGTAAAGAATGATGGGAAAAACGTGTACTTGTTGATAAATAAGGAAAGAAAAAGCAAACAAACCAAAAGCAACAAAGGATTGCAACAAAATTCTATTGCTTTTATATAGAAAGAACTGTCATTAAAAATTTACTATTGATGAGTTCCGTGCTATTAAACCGTCCTTTTGGTTTTTAGTAAATTAACCTGATTCTCTCTGCAGTATAAATGATATGTAAATATTTTCTGTATTTTATACTGCTAATAAAATTAGATATCTTTAGAACAAATATGCTGAATAGTAACACACAGAACTCTGCTATAAATAAAATAAAAATATAATTGGTTTTATAATGAAAGGGCTTTTCTTAATATCATATGTAAAAACATGATACAGTAAAAAGAAAGTTTTGAGACTCTCTTGCCACATTTAAAAATAGATGAAGAAAATATCCAGAACCAATTATCTTATAAGTTTTGAAACAAGATGTTCTTCAAAAACACCTCACTGAAATGTCACCTAGAGATCTGGTATTACCAAGGTCTTCACGTGTAAGGAGGGCTTTTCTAATATGCTTATCTTACTATTCATCCTAAGATGTATGTAGGCTAAGTGATACTGCTTGCCTGAGAATTCAATGTCAGCTACCCGAAGCCATCTATCCTACTCCAGTGTCCAGCTCCTGCCCTGAAATGGTCCGTATGGTGATCTAACTCAATATCCTGACCTATATGTCATTTCTACATATTTGCACTATCACATGATTCAATTTCTTCCTTTCTCCAGGAATTTATCATCTCTTTCTGGAATCTTCCAGTTACCTCTGGAAGTAACATGTGTGTACAGCCATTGTACTAACCTGACTTTGACCACTGCCTGCTGTGATAATGCTGTCATTTGCCCTAAAGGTCCTTCAGAGATACCAGCTGCCCAGTGAGTCAAGTTCAAGATCCTGCATAGCAAAATCACGTATTCTGTACTGTGTCCTTCCTATGTTCCCATCCAGTTCTCTGTGTGCCTGGGGACACACTGTTCACACAAATCAAAGCAATATCATGACCTTTTAACATTATTCCTCTATAATCCTTCAATTCATTCTTTTCCAAAACATCTTCTGATCCAAGTTTCTCTAGAAAATCTTTTTCAGTTGATTCTGGTACAGTCTTTTTCCACGTTCTTGGTGTGAGGGTTGACCTCCCTCAACCTATCACTCTGGTCTCTAACACAATAACTTATTTTTGCTTTAAAGCCCTAAAAGGTAACTGCTCTAAATATTAGCTTTAAAAAAAAAAAAATCTAGCTATATATCTTTGTAGTTTGTCCTTTTGCACTTCTGTTCATGTGCACTGAAGCTATATTTTTCTGAAAATCAAAGTCTAGAGATTAGTCACTTCATCCAATGTCTTTACTTGACAGACAAGGAAACTGAGGTCCAGGGGGTACGGTATGCATGGTGCCCA